CTAACAAATGACGCACATGCATCTCCCCTCAAAATAATTGCCGCGCCTGGTACAGAAGACAGTACTAATCCTTTATAGACACAGGTGACCACTACTTTAAATTCTCTTTATTAGAAAATTATTATGATCTTAAGACAGGCCGTGCCGCAAAAACTTTAGTTAGAGAAATTTGACCAACGTAATATTGGAGGTACATATCTGGATCACAGAAGCAAATAACACAAACAAGCATATATAGAATAATTAGGGTAACACATAAATAACATACATTCAGAAATCACGAACAATGAACATGGGCAATTTGATTTTGGATTTTTTAATGATATAAAACAGTATCACAGAAAATACAGTAGAATTCTCCTAGTATTTGGTTTTTATACCTCCTTTCCTATTAATTTCCATAGTTGTTTCTAATACTGTATGTATGCTAACAGGATTTCTATGTTCTACATTTCTGAGTTACGAGATGCTCTCTTCAGTAAAGTAAACTCATATTCAGGGATCAGAAAGGAAATATTAAATTATCTAACCTATATCAAAGCCAGTGTGTGTCACGTCACGCTTGATTTCTCTAAATAGAAGGAGTCATAAAACCAAAATGCATTTATCCACATAGAATAGTTCGATTACAGTCTGCTCATTAGGATTTTAGTGGCAGGGGTGCAAGGGCGCCATAAGGGGGTGTTCCGTGAAACCTTATAAGTGTAGTGAGTGTTGGTATAAAAAGCCTGAATTAAAGAACGTAGTTCGGGATCATCCAGCCTAGAGCCAAGTGCATAAAATTTACCATGAAAGTAAAAAATATCGATTCAATTTTAAACTTAAATCGTTTCTGAATTAAACTATTTTCTGTTATATCACCAACGTTTTTATTAAAAAAACCTTTTTAATTAACGTAGACTCTAAATTAAGAAATCAACAAATATTTTTGTTTCGTTGTCTATACATTTCATTTTATACTTTCAGTAAACAGACTAACAACAATATTATGTTATACTTTTGTTGCTAAGCAACATGACATAAAAGCCATAGTTGGAACTTAAATTACCAAAACGCACTGTATTTTCTATATATTAGATGTTTTTGTTTGTTTGTTTGTTTGCTACACGAGAGCTATCTGCGCTAGCCGTCCCTAATTTAGCAGTGTAAGACTAGAGGGAAGGCAGCTAGTCATCACCACCCACCGCCAACTCTTGGGCTACTCTTTTACCAACGAATAGTGAGATTGACCGTCACATTATAACGCCACCATGGCTGAAAGGGCGAGCATGTTTGGTGTGACGGGGACTCAAGCCCGTGACCCTCAGATTGCGAGTCGAGCGCCCTAGCCACCTGGCCATGCCGGGCCAATTATTCTATGAATACGCAACGAATTCATTTCATGAATGGTCTTAATTTTGATTGGAATTTACCGACGTTTGGCTGCTTCGACTGCACTTTTCTGTCTTTTTGTTGGTCGAGCTTGATTTTGCAAAATTTATTTATTTCAATTAGCTATGAAATGTGAGGTTAGGGAATACTATGGGGTGGGGGTGGTAGTACTTGCCCCATCATTTTTGAGGGGTCATGCGCTAGTTTGTGTGTAATAACCAGTGCCTATGTATGATAACTAGTACTTGTGCATGGTAACAAGTGACTATGTATGGTAACAAATGTTTGTATATGGTAACAAGTGCTATGTTTGGTAACTAGTACCTATGTATGGTAACAAGTGACTACGTTTGGTAACTAGTACCTATGTATGGTAACAAGTGACTACGTTTGGTAACTAGTACCTATGTATGGTAACAAATGTTTGTGTATGGTAACAAGTGACTATGTGTATTAACTAGTACTTGTGCATGATAACAAGTGACTATATATGGTAACAAATGTTTGTGTATGGTAACAAGTGACTATGTGTATTAACTAGTACTTGTGCATGGTAACAAGTGACTATATATGGTAACAAATGTTTGTGTATGGTAACAAGTGACTATGTGTATTAACTAGTACTTGTGCGTGGTAACAAGTGACTATGTGTATTAACTAGTACTTGTGCATGGTAACAAGTGACTATATATGATAACAAATGTTTGTGTATGGTAACAAGTGACTATGTGTATTAACTAGTACTTGTGCATGGTAACAAGTGACTATATATGGTAACAAATGTTTGTATATGGTAACAAGTGACTTTGTGTATTAACTAGTACTTGTGCATGATAACAAGTGACTATATATGGTAACAAATGTTTGTGTATGGTAACAAGTGACTATGTGTATTAACTAGTACTTGTGCATGGTAACAAGTGACTATATATGGTAACAAATGTTTGTGTATGGTAACAAGTGACTATGTGTATTAACTAGTACTTGTGCGTGGTAACAAGTGACTATGTGTATTAACTAGTACTTGTGCATGGTAACAAGTGACTATATATGATAACAAATGTTTATGTATGGTAACAAATGACTATGTATGATAAGAAGTAAAGGAAGGTATGAGTATCAGTCAGTTCGGACATTTTTCAGAACTAACAGGAATCCTGTTTTGATCATGAGGTACTGCAATTATATGTAAAAAAAGCTAAATCTTACTTACAATAGTATATGTAATGCATGTGGGCAAATACATCCTTAAAAAACAGTATTTGGTTTCAAAGGCATAACGATACACAGCAGAATTTTCGAAAAATATGAATACAATTTCTAAAAGTTTCCTTTCTGGATTAAAGTTTCTGTTGATCTAGAATTAATGCAAACAAAATTAGACGACTTATCGCCTACCAGGTACAAACAATTCGGTCATAAAGTTTCTCGAACCGTAAATGTTATGGCCAAAGTGAGTTATTTTCTTTTCTTCGACACTCAACAGACAGAAGTACGGTAGTATATGAAATACAAATGAATAACTTATCGTCTTGTCCTTTATTATCCAATTTCGTCCTCATTGTGATACTTCTTGCATGCTGTTGATCTTCGTCATGTGGTCCAAGAAGCGTATCATTTGAAGATGCGAGTTTGAATATTAATGGAACAATCAAGAAATTGGTATGCAAATTACTTTGAATCCAGAAATTAGGGCTGAGGATTTGAGATTTCGTAAAGTCCCAAATAAATAAAACATAGAACATTATGTACAAAGAACAAAATTTAACTTGAGACCATATAACAACACAAACAGCAGAAGCAACAGTATAAAATCCTATCCTTGGTCTTTAGAATGATTTGTTTGAAGTTAAACACAAAGCAACACAATGGGCTATCTGTGCTCTGCCCACCACGGGTATCGAAACCCGGTTTTCAGCGTTATAAGCCCGCAGACATATCGCTGTGCCACTGGGGGGCCTTTAAAACGGACATATAAATACTTTCAAATCCTATCATTGGTCTTTAGAACGGACATATAAGTTCGACTGCAAAAAACAACAACAGAAACAATGGTAAAGAACTGTATTATTATTGCAATACCTTACGTGAAGGATAGATAGCAAGTAAAATAAAAGGTTTTGAAAAATGTTTTGTATTAAACATAAAACTTAGTACTGTATATTTCAAGAGTAACTAAACTCATCATTTCGTATTTCCAACAGTCTAAAATGAAAAAAAGAAAAAATGCCGCGTAAACTTCGGTAAATGCAAAACGGTGATCACAAACAGAAATAAAGATCTTTGAAAACATTCAATATTTTGTACTCAAGCATTACTTATTTTATAAATTCTATATCCTTTGTTGTCCTCACTGAACAATCGAACAATGAGTAAGAGTCATGAAGTAACAAAATTCATTTCCAGTATAATTAATCTTCTTTTAAATAGCCATCATTATTTAAAGATGGGCTCCTGAATACGTTGAAAGTATCATCAACGACTGTTATTCACTAGCGGAGCCGCACGTTAACCCGTAAAGGTAATTTACGGAGGTTTGTTTTAAAAGAACATTCCGCTGGAAACGAGATACGTAGTAAAAAGACTGGTGTACAATCTGATTAACTTAAATATTGAGGTATACGTGATCGTATACTCTACTAAAATAGTGAAGCCAGTCTGGAATCGATAAAACTCTACTTTATAAAGCAAAGTTACATTTCGTAAATATGTTTCATGACGTGCTTTAAAATAAGTAAAAATCCGAAAATCAGGGCAAGAAATATATAACGGCACTTGAATAGTACCACAAACTTGACTAGTGGGAGTGATCATCACATTATAACGCCAACACTGCTGAAATGGCGAGCATGTTTGGTGTGACAAGGATTCAAAGCCGCGAACCTCAGATTGCGAGTCAAGCTCCTTAACCACCTGGCCATGCCAGCCTACTTATCATCGGATTTTGCTGAAAAGAACAATTTAATGATTGATCAAAATGTTGCTTAGTTAAATCTTACTTTGTTGTATATAGTTACAACAGTTCTTCTTTTGTTTTCCTTACTTTGTTGTATATAGTTACAACAGTTCTTCTTTTGTTTTCCTTACTTTGTTGTATATAGTTACAACAGTTCTTCTTTTGTTTTCCTTACTTTGTTGTATATAGTTACAACAGTTCTTCTTTTGTTTTCCTTACTTTGTTGTATATAGTTACAACAGTTCTTCTTTTGTTTTCCTTACTTTGTTGTATATAGTTACAACAGTTCTTCTTTTGTTTTCGAGTTCATGCAGTTTTGGCTAAAATAAAATTTCAAGATTATTCACAAATAATGCCCGTGGTATTTAAATTATTCGATTTCCTGAAGATGTTAACTAATTTCCAATTTCAAGGATCAAAATCATATTTGTTCAATTGATTAACGTAGTAATCGATTGGAGAAACAATTTAATAGAAAGATGACACTGATCGTTCTGTTCAAAATTCGAATAAAACAGAAGTCAAAACTACAGAGCATCTGTCAAATTCAATAAGAGATATACATATTTACCAAGACGTAGTGTGACTTAAAGTACCTAGACAATAACCTTTTAAGAAGGCACATGTTTTATCATTAGTGTGAGAATATCAATAGCAATATGCTTCCACTTACCAGAAACTTTAATGCAAAGCGTTCCATTAGAATCTTTTCCAACAGTAACTTTGGTCTTCTTCTAAAAACAAAAAGGTTCTTCAATAAGTTTTTGAAATTAAGCATCTACCCGAAATAGTAAAATAAATTTTTACCTGAATAAACACTCCATTTATAATACTTTTATTTTTATAAAAACAGTAACACAATAGAAAAATTCATATGGAATTGTCGCATACGTCAAACAATATAATTTTATCATATGGAATTGTCGCATACGTAAAACAATATAATCTTATCATATGGAATTGTCGTATATGTCAAACAATATAATTTCATCATATGGAATTGTCGCATACGTCAAACAATACAATTTTATCATATGGAATTGTCGTATACGTCAAACAATATAATTTCATCATACGGAATTGTCGCATACGTCAGACAATATAATTTTATCATATGGAATTATCGCATACGTCGAACAATATAATTTTATCATATGGAATTGTCGTATACGTCAAACAATATAATTTCATCATATGGAATTGTCGCATACGTCAAACAATACAATTTTATCATATGGAATTGTCGTATACGTCAAACAATATAATTTTATCATATGGAATTGTTGCATACGTCAAACAATATAATTTCATCATATGGAATTGTCGCATACATCAAACAATATAATTTTACGTCGTCTCCCCAAATTCAAGAAGTTAAACCCGGAGATTCACAATATTAAATTGGGTATTTACAGTGGCAACTAATAAAACTTCATTAATCAACTTGGACTGAAGGAGTTGCTGTTATGTTGCCCCACTTTGACTGTAGCTGTGGTTTTAATGTGTGTTTTTTATAAAAAATAAAAACAAGTGATAGATTTCACTGTATGAAAAGTTTTATTATATGAAGGAGTTACGGAGTTCATTATTTGATAACGACGTGATTTTTTTATAACTATTTAACGAAAAATGCAAAATTCTTTAAAGATATGTTACAAAGTTTTTATCAAAACGAAATGTGTTCCGTACTAAACTAGAGAAAACCTTTGGTACGCAGCGTTTTAATCAGATGGTGCTGAGAATTTTTTCTAGAATTTCTTTACCGGCTCAAACTAGTCAATTTCTTGTCCTCTAGGTTTACGCATATAGTTAAAGTATTTGTTTTACATTTCAAAAATGGTGGATTTTGAAACATCAAAATTACTGACCCATGCTGCTTACAAAAATTCATAACTCTATTATAGTTTCAAAGTAAAATGTTAGTAATTTAAAACTTTGTGTATCTATAATGTTGCAGCCATACGCTTCTTTGGGACACGCACGCGCGCACACACACACCTGAATGATGGGCTAGATTCACAATAACTTCAGTATACTGGTTGATCTTATTGGACACAATAAGAACATAATTACCACACCTCACCAGTCCGTCTCATAGAATACAAACGAAGCAAGTGCTGTAAGAATAACCACAGTTTCTTAATTCCTGGCAAAGAAATTCATTATATCGAAATGAGGGAAGAAACGTTCGATACTGGGATTTATATCCTAAGTTGTTAGACAGAAACATGAACAAACAATGAAGCTCAGGTATATAACCGAAGTTCACGTAATTCTTTTTTTTTCTTATCTGCACGATATATTGATGTTATTCTTCGATTAAAAGCGAAATTATTATTCTCATAATATACAGTTTTACTTTTGTATTATCTTTACTTCTATTTTGAGTTTATCACAAATACTTGTTATTCAGCTTCTATATGAATGTAGAAATGCGATTTCTATTCTCCCTTAAACAGCCAAGATCAAACAGCCATGATTAAACAGCCAAGATTAAACAATTTCCTTTATATACTTTCTTACAACTCTAGGATTCCTCGTTTTCCTAGTATAATTTATTTTATTCCAATTTTTATCTAATTCCTATGCTTTATTTACTTCCAGTCAGTTGAAATACTTTCTTCATTCCACTCTTCCGTTATATATTCCTATTATTTCATTCCCTTGCAGCTAGGAGATTATATATGCTATATTTATCTGAAAATAAATAAACACCATTTACTTCGATTAATCATTCAGAACATTATACACTTTCATTATTCTATGTTCTCTTTTACCCGTAGGATCATTTCTTTGATGTTGTTTTTTTCCATCAAGAACAAATAATTGCTTTGTTCCACTTTCCCCTTCATCCATAATATAAATAATACAATTTCGTAATTTTACTTCTTTTCTCTCGTTCTTCAGCAGACCTAATCATTCTATGTACTTTTTAAGATTCATTTTACCAAGCCCATCAGTAACTTCTGATCAAAGCAAGATCATAACTAAAGATTAATCCATTAATGAATGTAACTATAATTGAATATAGAGATTAGAACGCACTGATTTATTAGGTGACTACCTTCGCTTTTAGCCATATTTAGCCAGAATCCCAATATCTCACGAGGTTCGAACAGATTAGAAGAATTAGGCTAGTCCCAGCAATGCAAAATAATCCTCAAAATAAAAGATATATGATAGAAGTAAAAAACAGCAATATATTATCATTATACATGTTAAACATTTTAACAACAACAACAAATTCTGATTTATTGCAAAGAAATGTATCTGTTGGAGTCGTTGTCTTTCAGATAAATTCAACTAACTGAATACAATTTTGTTGACGGCAATATGGTTAGTAACGTGAGGCGTTGTTAATCTTTAGAGCAATCTTCTGCATAATTCTTTATCAGATATTTTCATGGCAATGGCCAGTGGCCAGTGCTTTAAACTGGTAATCATAGGGTTGGGAGTTCGTGGCTTGCTCACGACATGCTGTCGGGTCCTTGACCAATAAACTTTACCCCAGTTGCTTCAGTATATTTAGCTGTATAATGGGTACCAGCAGGTAGTTGGGGGTTAAACTGCGATGGACTGGAATCTCGTACAGGGGATATGTGTCATCATTCTTATTTGTTTGTGTCATTAATACTAGACTTCAGCACCGACTCCTACGTGCCGTACGTGGGATAGCTTTGACCATATAAATTCAGAGAGGTGTTGTCCACATTAAATGTATAATATTCCTTGACGATATTCTCGATATTATGTTTAGGGAGAAGGGGGGGGGAAGAGTGTTCGTGGGAGAGTTTCATTTAGGGAAACAAGACTTTAGCAAAATAAAAAAAGTTTTAATTTAAAAAAAAAAGCTGTACCAAAGGCATGTGATGGGTAAGAAACCTAATAATATTTCTGTAACTTATTCTATCGTTGAGTGGGTTCTTTTGGATTATTTGGTGACATTAACGCCAAATTCAATCCACGTAACGATAACGAATCAACTTTGTTTTTTCGATAAGGTTACTACAGGCTACGTTCACTTCGAATCAAGTTGCAGGCTTAAATTCACAAATTATATCTGAACAGAAATTTCGAGATTAATGGTACCCCTAACTTACAGTTACAAGCAAACTTATCTACATTGTTTCTTCTCTAATCGATGATTGACTTAATAGACACGATAACTCTCATTCCAAACTGAATCACCCACTAGGTACTTCTTTGAATTCTTACTAAACCTTCACAAACTGATTACTCGTATTTATAACGTACTCTCGTTTCTTCCAATTTCATGAAATTTTTAGAATATTACATAATCATAAACTTTCTTGGTATTCTATGATAACTTTGATAACTGAATTATACCATTAAAATATTACTTACAACAATATTACTTACAACAATATTGATCCACTGTCATTTAAAACAAGTAAAACTCCATATCCGATAAAATATATCAGTTTAATAAAAAAATCAAATGGGAGTTTTTTTTTTATTCATAGAGCACATTTTTACTTACAACAATATTACTTACAACAATATTGATCCACTGTCATTTAAAACAAGTAAAACTCCATATCAGATAAAATATATCAGTTTAATAAAAAAATCAAATGGGAGTTTTTTTTTATTCATAGAGCACATTTTTACTTACAACAATATTGATCCACTGTCATTTAAAACAAGTAAAACTCCATATCAGATAAAATATATCAGTTTAATAAAAAAATCAAATGAGGGTTTATTTTTATTCATAGAGCACATTTTTATTTCATCTTTGAACTGGTAAAAAAAATAGAGGAGAGAAAATAGAAAATTGGAACTAGCTTACAACTTCAAAAATATAACCAAACGCCGTGAGAGGTCGCTATCAACGGTGGTTGTTATTGATGTTCTTTGGCACAAAGCTACACAGTGGGCTTAATAATGAAACCAAGACGCCTGCCTATAAGACTTTCCACGATGTATTATTGTAGCACACATGCGAAGAAGAACGTAGAGCTGGTTTATAGAAGAATTAATGTTATCCTCATCCATTTATCTTCATTACAAAAGATAATTACCAAGTTTCACAGAGCACATTCTCAAGGGAATAAAAGAAGGAAATCAGTCACAGAATATACGAAATAACTTACAAGACTGTGAACGTAAAACAACAACTAAAATCCCATATTTCAAGCTGTTGTTAACCATAGCATTAAATGACATTTATCATAAAATTTACACAAAATAATGAACAAAAAAAATCAATAACTATCTTTTTTTATGTATTCATAATTCGTATTTAAAAAAGTTGAAACACTTTCCAAAATTCAACCAAAATTTAATTAATAGTTTTTAAAATTATTTCTATGACAATGTAGAAAAATAATAGATAATGTTGTGATACTTAATTAACCTAAAATTTGATGCAGTACCTGAAAAAAATAATTCATTAACATTAAAAAGCAAAATAAATGAAAATACCATCCTTAACTGGAATGAAAAAATACAAAACCATGATTATTCATTTATAAAGCATTAATGATTTTGCTCATAATATGTGATTTTTTCCTAAAGTGAATTAATTACAATGTGTTTGGCAAACTTTCAGTTTTTACTTTCGTAGCAGTCGAACAAAAATGAAGATAGAAATAATTCCCTCCTTAATTTTACTGGCTTATATGGTAGAATGCATTAAAACATATAAAAAAATTCTTGTAGAACAAGAAATTAGCACATTTAATATATAATCTATGTTTCCCGGGAAAAA